CTGAGCTGTCAGGGTGCTATAGAGATGTGCAGTGACGAGTCCTAAAACCCGGAAATTAGTTAGCATTTCACCACTTCCTGTTCCCTCGTCTCAGAGCCAATGGGATCTCTCTATAGCAGTGGTTCTCAACCTGTGGTACGCGTACCACTGGTGGTACGCGAGCTCTCGCTAGTGGTACGCGGAGGAATCTGAAATATAACAACAACACTTTTTCTTTTTTTTTTTTCTTTTTTTTTTTTAACAAGATGAAAACATTGAGACAACATCTCATTTACAACGCTGACCTGGCCAAGAAGGCAGCAACGGTTGTTACACATAACACAGACGTAAAAAATACAGAAAACACAACTAAGTAAACAAAAGACGAAAAGCAGTCACTACAGTGTGCACATTTAAAACCGTAAGAAAGGTGCACTACTTATTACTGCAAGAGCAGCTGGTGGTAAGGACCTCAGACAACTTCCATTTAAAACAGACTATAGGGACAAGTGCCATCAGTTTGAGGCTTGATTGAATAACATTAATTAAAAAATAAATCATACTATCAAAATACTACAACGAATGAAAATAAGCTTTAGATAACTGAAACTGTGGTTTAAATAAGTTCTAATAGGCTATTGTTGTTTTTAGATTTAGAAACACATTTTTTATTTCTGGCGTTGCTAATGACGACCATACTACCCGTGAATGATTAGCGAACGTTGCTAGCAAGCTAAAGAAAGAAGAAAGCTGAATGATGTTAAAAACGTGGCTCAAAACGGGAGGTATTCAGAAGAGAGGTATTGATTGATTGTTTGAGAGGTACAGAGGAGAATATTAGCAGCTAAAGTGGACAAGTGAATGAGGAGGAGGACAGTCATCAACCGAGCACAAGCCCAGGCTCCACCAGCAACGCAAAAGTGATATGCACAGTCACAACGCTGTGATGGAAGAGAGAAGTGACTCAGGAAGAAGGCATTTGCTCAAAGAATGGAGAAGAGGCTGTGACCGAGGTCAAATGTTGAAAAAGCACACACTTGTCCTTAATTGTTATATTTTTTGCCACCACAGAAATGGCAATAGCAAACATCAGCAGACTGACGATGAGCTATTAGCCCTTAGTCTCATCTGCTCCTGGAGGCTTTCATTATTATTGTGGAACTGAAACATAACATCTGAAACGATGTAACAACATAATAAACTTTTTGGGGATGCAGCTTGGGATGTGAGGAGTGAGGGACAGGGCTTAGAACGGGCGTGTCACCTTCTGTCCTGCCAGTGTTGGCAGGACATTAATTAAAATGTCGAACTCGGACTTCATGTTAAGAACATTTCGGCCAGGGGTTTAGAGCTATATTTGTTTATTTAGGAGAGTGTGTGCACTAGTCTGCCTGGATCTATGTATTCATGTCTGTGACACTCACAGTATCTGCTGCCCACAGCTGTTTTATAGAAGGAAAACCTCCTTCACTTCATGAAATTTCTGCAGCACCAGCAGGCAGCGGGAGGGTTAACTCAGCCTCTGAGAAGAGGAGCGTGCAGTGCCTTTCACGCACCGCCTTCACTGTGTTTACCTGCAGTGTGACTGATGTGTTTTAACCACACACACACACACACACACACACACACACACACACACACACACACACACACACACACACACACATACACCTTTAGTAATGAATATTATGTTGTGAGGAAATCTTTCCACCAATAATTCCAATAAGTAATCCAAAATGTATTCACTTCAGGTTTACGAAAGTAACTGTAATCAGATTACTCGTTTTTCAAATGTAACACAAGCTGAATACAGTTTCTTGATTTTTGTATTCTGATTACGTAACGCCGTTACATGTATTCCGTTACAACCCAACCCTGGCTGTGGCTGACAATAAATAATGTTATTATGAATAAATTTGCCTCCGAGTCCTGCATGAACTGTGCATAGACTGTATTTTAACATTAGTCATATGGTGGTACTTGGAGAGCCAACTATTTTCTCAGGTGGTACTTGGTGTAAAAAGGTTGAGAACCACTGGAATAGAGTGATGCGTAGCCAGAATGCCCAAAACCGGAAGCTGTCATACACTCTCGTAGCTATCATAGCAGCTATATATGATGATGGATTATCAGTAATCATTTCAAAGTGACACAGACACATTGGATTAACCTATGGATTAACCTTCAGCAGAGTTTTTATCGTTTTAATGCCATTGAACACAACTTTTGATCAGAACAACAGCAAAGGTAAGACTATTTCCCGTTTTTACTTCATAAAGCTACGTTGTGTGGTGTCTGGGTTTGCTTCCCCTGCCGCGAGTTTTGATCACACAGTGATAATACTAATACTTCTAGAATCTGTGGAATCTCAGATTGCTAGCTGATATCTTGTTTGTGCAGATCCGATAAGTAATAAAGTATTTCTACCGTGAGTTCTGTGCTAAGTGCGTTAATTGTTCTTCGCTCAGGGCTCATTTAGACGCTTCTTATGAGACTTGTGTTTTGTTTCAGTAAAAATAGTTCGTATCGTCAGTTAGCTGAGTTTCGTCTCGTTAAGTGGGTTGATACACATTAACATAATAGGTTGTTAAGAATTTTTTAAGAAGCCCTGACGATACAGTTTCGGTGAAAAGAAAAACCTGGGCTTCACAGGTCTAACATTAATTTGGTTCTCACAAGTAACAAATGAAAGGTGCTATATAAATAAACTTGCCCTTGTCTTGTGAAAGCAATTCTAGAACCCTGCAGAGCAGGGAGACTGAAAAGAGTCAGGGAAGCTTATAAAAGTTAATAGCATGTAATTACAAACAAAAGATGGTGGTGGTTGTACAATGAAATTTGGAAGTGGAGAGCACTCCTCATGTGTTGGTTCCAGGCGAGGTCAGAGAAGATAGATGGTGGATTCTTGGCCTTGCTCTTCCTGTGGGTGATCCGAGGGTCTCCTTATTGGCCGGCGTCGTCGGGGCGGGTCCAATCGCAAATTCCTGCCTTTTTCTGTTGCTAAAATTTACATCATTCTGGTGTCTGTGGTTAGATTGTAAACATTTCCCTGATTAAAGAGCGTTTATATTTCAGTATATGGCTTCGCCTCAAGGCTATCGCTTTGGGTAATCCCCCTTGCGCACCCGCGCAGGCATAAACACTTGTTAGTCCACGCCCACCCGCAAGGGGGGCCCCACCCTCGGGTCCTTCCGGTATAAATAGGAAGGAGGCCGACAATCTTGCTCCCTCTTTTTCTTCAGCAGCGTT